TATGAATCACTTGTCCAAGGGTGGTTTTAATAACTATTAGCTTCCCCACTGGGCATCGAACTATCCTTTCCCCCTCCTGAAGACTTGGAGTAACCAATTCTCCACCAAGAAAAGTGCCCCAGAGTTTCACAACCATTCATGCCTTCCTGTGCTGAAGGTGCAAAAGTAAACGGCCTTTCCTTGAAATGACGTCACAAAATGCTGTTACACTCCCTTGTATGGGAATAAGAAACAGTAACACTGTCTATAACCCACACATGCAGAAGAAAGAGAAAATATGCCAAGTGGCTCATGCCTGTAATAGCCTAGCACTCTGAGAGACCGAGGAAGGAAGATCACTTGAGGTCAGGAATTTGAGACCAATCTGAGTAAGGGTGAGATCCCATCTCTACTAAAAATAGAAGATATTAACTGAGCATGGTGGTGCACACCTGTAGTCCCAGCTATACATGGGAGGTTGAGGTGGGAGGATTGCTTGAGCCCAGGAATTTGAAGTTGCGATGAGCTATGATGACACCACTCTACTGTGGCAACAGAGTACTCTGTCTCAAAAACAAAAATAAAAACAGAAAATAATTCCACTGAGTCATGGATGTGGAGGAATTCTTTTCTAGCCAGGCCCCCTTTCTAATGTCTGAAGTCCTTCCCCTAAACCCTAAGCAATGATGCTTTTCCTCCAGTGGAATCTATTCCATTCTTTTGCACAAGTCCAGAGATCAATGAGCACAAAGCATTTGGCAACATCAGAACGTCCTTGGACACTACCTTTCTATATTACCTGCTGTAGGTATTGGTCTCTGTTTTATGTCACCCCATGGGAAATACAGGGAAGATACAGGGGCTTCCAGAGGCTTGAGGTTTTGGAGGAGAAAGTAGGCATGGGGGCCATGAGGAAACACTCATGTCGCCAACGAACTTTCCCCACAGAGGCAACCAAACACTCCTTTGAAACTCTGCTTTTAGCTGTGGGGACTGGATATTTTTAAAGACCATCTCAAATTAGCACATGTCTGGTAGGGGGTGACCAGGCTAGAGAGAAGTCTAAGTGTCATTGCCTTGAAAGATGTTTAGCTTAAAGAAGGAACTAGGGATGGGGGGCAAGAAAGCTGTTGCCAAACATGGAAAAGAATCTTATTTTCTGATGTTCTAAAGACCAAGTGAATAATAATAGGATTTTGACTCCACCTATGGACAAAACATGATGGTTTCCCAGCATCTCAGGAGAACATGCCCCTTCTGACTTTGCCCTTGGAGAGAGGCTACAGCAGGGGCCACGTGGAATCAAGGAATCACATGCCTTGCTAGGTCACTTTCAAGCCTGTTTCCAGGTGTGGTGTGGCCATGGCCTGATCACTGCTGGAGGTCCCAGTTCTGGACTCCTCCTGAGCGTGTGTGCTGAATTCCAGCCCAGAACCTTCTCTGCAGAGAGCAGGAAGGGTCTCCTTGGAAGCATCATCTACATCAAAGTTTATGCCCCACAAGCCCTCAAATACTTTCAAACAATCAGTAAAACTTTTGAAAACTGAAGTGACTTTAAGGGCTGTGTCACACTCATCATCTCTTTCCATCTTTTAATAGAGTCACTGCAGGTTTATTGAGAAGAGTGTGGAGACTGTTGCTGACAGCTCTAGCTGGCAATCACAGTTCAAGCCGGTATTGCAAGCTGGGTTTTTTTTTTTCTTACTTTAAAGTTGATAGCCAGAATCTATCATTTTTCTAGGTTTTTTTTTTTTTTTCCTTAAAAGAGGTTTATATTGGGGGGGGGTGAGGTCGAAATGGGTCTGGCAAATGTCAGTGCTACTTTCCTTTTTGGTTAAGTCATTAGCCAGAGGTTTTTTTCCATAGGAACGAATTTTGCCATACACCTTTCTTGCTATACTATAGATTTGGTACTTTGCAAGAAAAATTATTTCCCTCCATGTCTATAACAGGAATGGTATGTTTCTTGGCATAGCTTGGAAAATAGATGCATCATTGCCTTTGCCTTTCTGG